GAGAGAGAGAGAGAGAGAGAGAGAGAGAGAATAATAGCGGGCCTCGTCTGCCTCGGCGTCGAAGAAGAAGCACTTTCACTTCGACTCGCAGAATCACAGACATCACTTCCCACGCTTGCACCGAAGCCCCGCGTCGATGTACCTGGCCGGCGCGGCTCCGGCCCAATGTGTCTGGCTGAGCAGCGCGTCACGGAGGGCCTCGCCCCGCCTGCACGAGAGGCCTCCAACATTTTGCTGGAGCCCGGTGTTTCGGGAACCCATAAGACAGAATTGGCCGTCTCAGCTACTTCTGTAGGTAAAACGTAAAACGTTGTGGGGTAGAGATCTTATAATCCTACTGATTAGAAACGATGCTTTATTCAAAATAAACCTTAAACTTTACGCAACCCTTGTCTCCTCCAATAGTTTTGATGGTCAATTTTGATTGGTCGAAAGGAGGTGGTCATATGTTATCTCAAATAAATTCTATGGAATAACACATATTTAACATTTTCATGTTGATGATCCAAGTTTACGTCAACATTTCGTATTCTAAGATTATTTTTTATCTTTTTTAAGTCTTGAGAGCCCTTAATTAAGGAGCGCGGGGCAGGAGGCCGGGACGGACGCAGCGACAGGAGGAGAGGTGGTAGAGGAGAAGAGAGAAGAGGAGGGCGAGGAGAGGAGACAGGACGGGAGAGAGAAGAGGAGGGCACGGGGGGGGGGGCGGCAGGCCTCAGCTGCGGCGAGAGACAGCTGCGCGGCAACACAAGCAAAGGGAAAAACTTTGACGACAAAGCACATGGCTGGGAGGGGGATGCAAAGGTAGAGCGGGGGAAAGGAGGGAGGGAAGGAAGGGTGGTGGAACCAGGTTAAAAACAGAGGAGAATAAGATCCACACACGGAAGAAAAAAGCAAGGGGCAGACGGGACGAAAAAAGATGCTCGCGCTGCGGTGGCTGTAGCCTCAGCAGTAGGAGCACAAACACGCGTTGGCCCACGCACACACAACCTGTGGGGCCCCGCCTTTCCTGCAAATGATGAAGTGGCTACAAGAGGCGAGCGTGTGTACGATCCGTAGAGATTTGAAATTCGCTTTTCCGTTACGCCCCTGCGGCCCCTCAGACGGCACCACCGTCGCTCACTCGCTTGACCGAGCATATCGACTTCTCCTCAGCTATACGTAGTCTATTTAGAGACGCGCGCCGGCTACGCCTCGCGTAACAGGTTTTGCGATTTTTCGCTGGAGGCGAAGCAAAGTCTGTTGCGCGTGAGACGTGATCTCTCACTGGCTCCGCTCTCGGCCTTCCGTCTATGCCTCAGACTTTCAGTATGCCACTCACAATTTAATGAAAAGAACAGACATTCCTGTGTCCAAATATTTTTGGAAATCATTCTACCTTTTGCGGAGGTTATAAAATAAATGCCTTAATTTTTTCAGCAATATGAAATTGCAGGCGTCAGTATCCCTGGAACCTTCGCACTCGCCGGTGAAATACGAAAAGGGAAACGGAGGAGAGACAGAAAAGTGCGACGAGGATTTGACGGATCGCCCTGAAATGAAATTAGCAATAATTGTGCCCTCATGTCGAAGTGGGCGGGGCAGGGCGGGCGGGTTTGCTGCGGCCGCTGTGCTGCGCGCCTCCGGCCGCGTGCCTTCGTTTTATTGCACAGCTATTTCGGTCGAATTTCAGGCTTGTCGATACGAAAGAAAGAGCGGGGGAGGAAAAAATATAAAAAGGAGTAAAGCAGATTCCAAGGTCATACTGCGAGCTCCGAGCTTAACCCACTTACAGCCCAGCAATAAGGCGATCGCATCGCCGCAATCTCCACCCTAGCGCCCTCGCTCCAGCGGGACGTGAGGCAGGGCTGGGAGCTGGGCGCGAACTGACACCTATAGTCAATGAACAACTCGAGCATTTTGCGAAACCTTCACACAAGTTTTCGTTCGAAACCAATTAGAAATTTTGTTTTTCGTTCTGAGGCCATTGTGATGGTGAGACGAGAGAGAGACAAACACAGGGGGGAGAGAGGGGTTGGTGAGGTAGAGACGCACAGACAGAACGCACATGATGCGACAATCGCGGGGTGGGCGTCGGAGAAGGTGGGGAGGGAAGAGGAAAAGAGGGAGTCCTCTTGTTTTGCGGGGGGCAGCGGCGGCAGGGACGAGCATTTAATGAGCGAACCGTTTTAATGACTGTCAGCCGATTTCGTCCAGCCGACCCTATGACATACCGAGGCGAGGAAAGGGAAATTATTGGAAAAAAAAAGACAGACAAGCGTTTTCACTAAAACCTATCAGTTTGTTTGAGACCATTTAATTTGTTTTTCCTTTTTTGCGGATCAACAATAATTGAAAAATAGTAATAGCTCGGCGCTGAATTAAAACATGGTGACGCAATAATAATGATGATGACGCCACACATCAATTTAAATGTGAAGGGACTTTTACAGTCATTCAATAGAAAGATGCATTTTTAAACCAGATGCGTTTTAGCAAACTTGTGAGGGGCAAATTTGCATCCTTTTGATAGACACATTTGTCTTCTCTTAAAAAGATGCAAATTTGTTGCTGACAGATTGCTTAAGTCCATCTGTTTAGAAGTTCTTAAAATACATCTAGTAAAGAACATAATCCGTCCTTTCTCAAGTCCCTCAACATTTCGAGCGCACCTCAAACGCAGCCAACCATATACATACCCCGATCCTGGTCTTGGTGAGCATCTGGCTGCCCCTCCACCACGTGATGGTGGGCGCGGGCCTGGAGCCCGTCACCTCGCAGGCCAGCTCGTGCTGGCGGTCCGCCCT